AATTAAAAATTGTAGAAGACCTTCAAAATCAAATTCTCCTTCTTCAATTGTATTTCGATTTTTGATGAGGTACCGGTTCAGAGTCGTTATTGACGGAAGTGATTTTGGTAAATTTGCGTACAGTGTTTCATATAATAATCTACCTCCTACATAAAAAATGTAGATCGCAAATTTTTTTGTAGCCACGTCATAGAAATTTTTGTTTTTGGGTCCTTGTATATTTTTCTGTGAAATTTCGAGAAGTTTCTTGAGAAAGCTATTTCCTATATTTTCTGCGGACTCTGTGGCAAGTTCTTGAGTCGCCTCCGCTAGTTTTGGTTTTAAAAACTTAGAAATTAAACGATATCTTAAGTTAGAAGTATTAATAACACTGCCAACTTCATCTGCTAATTTTAAAAAATTGGTTATCAGAGTTTGTTTTGGATCAATAATAATTACTTCCCTAGCTCTTTTTGCCCGTTCACTTCTATGGTATTTTATTTGCTTCCATTTTGATGAAGGCTCGGAAGAAAGGTTGATATCAGAAAAAGAACCAATATCAGATAAAGAATTTGATTCTTTTTCATGAAACTCAGTTATCATCCGATTCTCGATATTTTCCAAGGTATTAACTTTGGTATTTATCAAAGAAGTATTTACCGACTGATATGAGTTTTCCTCAAATTTTTCCGTTGAATTCTCCTGCAAATTGCCAAAGGACGAATTAGCTTTATTATTATTATTATTTTGTAACATATTGTCAATAGCAATTGAAGGCGTTTCTTTGGGGATTTGCAAGGGTAAACTAATATCTTGTAATACCTTAATTTTTGTATTCCCCGAATGAAACACATTCTCAAAGGAAGTATTAGCGGATGTATCACGGGATGTACTAGCCTCTTCACTATCCTTATTTCCATTATTTGTTAAGTGTATTTGTTTCGATGAAAGATTAAGGTCTTGCATTACACTGACGTTTGGCTTTTTTAATATAAATGAGGTAATAAGTTGGTTTTTGTAAGGTTTTTTTTATTGCAATTACCCTCGAAATTAGCCCCAGAATTAATTAGCCTCGGAATTAGCAAATTCATCAATATGCTTTTTTAACAGGTGTGTCTGAAAATTGGAATAAATCCATCGTTCACATTTAGAATTTCTTTTGAAGAATTTGGAAATAGTGTACGTAGCTCCGCAAAAGCAAGAAATAATACATTTTTGTCCATCTGCTATAAACCGAACCGAAATATTTCTAAGAAAACTTTTTAATCGATTCCACTGTTCCTCATCCGTCTTGCGTTTTGCCCACTGGTGGATTGTTTCTAAAATTTTATTTTCTGTTCCATATTTGGAGGTATCCTCGGAGCTCACCTCGGAGAGATTTTCGCCTCGATTTTCGTTTGGATCTTCGAAACCAGCATCAGATTCACAGGAACGTATTCCACTCACGTTTTTTTGGAAGTTTTCCTGCGTTGATGTGAAGGAATTACTCGAGGAATCACCTAGGGAATAACGATATTTTTTGCGTTTTGTTTTATTTTGCTCTGGCTGTCGCATCATTCTTTTAACTGCCTTTTTTTCAGCTTGCCTTTTTACGCAAAAATCTTTGAGCAAAGTGATCATATTCTTATGTCCTATGGGTATTTTAAATAACGTCGGTTTATTGCAATAAATACCATAAAATTTTGGATATTCTTCTCTACCAATAATTTGGTGCAACTCATTTTGAGCAAATTGTTCAATATTAGCGATGTTATCGTCATTAATAGTTGCAAATATTGATTCGTTTTCAAATCCACAGGCAGATAATAGATTTTTTAAAGTTGGTGGTATTTTAACGCTCAATGTAGATTCAGCTTCTTTAAAAAAATTGTTATCCTCGTTATCACCCTCATGATCTCTGAGATGAATGTCAACATCGCTAGCGCCATCTTGATGGTCAATATGAGATTCCATCTAAAAAAAAATTTACAATACTGTGAGTCTCAAAAAGTTTATTCCATATCGGAATTTTCTCTTAGTTTTATGGATTTAGGAAACAAACTTTGTGATACAATTTATTACCTCTGCTATCAAAATAACTTAAAATATGTTAAACTTGACAGGTGATGTCAAACTCGTCAGGTAATACGATAATGTACCACTCAAAATAACTACTAAAAAAAAAGGAGAATGAATTTTAAATATAAGAAAGTAAACGAAAACAGTTACGAAAAGCTACAACAATATAATTATTACTGACCATCGAAACTTATGAATACAAATATTTTCAGTAAATCAATTATTTAAACCGGATATTTCCGAACACTAATCAGGGAATTTTAGAATGTCCTAGGAAAACAATGATAAGCACTTTTAGTGTGTCCAAGGTCAAACTAGAATGGCCTGAAATCGAATATTTTCTGTAACACATACACTTACCTCGATCACAATAAGTAATTATCTTGAACTCGATACAGAGCGCACAGAGAATATTTTAACCGAGATTTTAACTGACAAAACAAATGCAATTCGTAAAAAAATACTTCACAGATTTTGCACACTTTGCTTACGACGGTTATGCGGTATTTTCTTACACCTAACCTAAAAATGCTCACGCAATCCTGTTGCATGAGAAGCAGCGCTACGGAAAGCGATCAATTCAGCACTGTTGCCGCTGTTAAGCGGCACACAGTGGCGCTCCCAGGATTTTAGTCTGGGGGGGGGGGGTAAAATGGAAAGTAAATTCTCAGTGTGGCGTACTGAAGTGTTATAATGATTTAACAGTAAAAGCATGGAAATATGCAAACATATGAATTTGTTACAGTAATTTCTGTAGAAAATACATAATTTTTTATAAATTTTAAACCATACGAAATTGAAGTTAAATAAAACGAACCGAGCTCGAGCAATCTTCATATATTAAAAGAAAAATGCAAAATAATATAATCTTTCTCAGACTTTTCTGCATAACAATGTCAGACAAAACAACAAAAAATACATCCTCCAACAGGAAGAAGCGCACACCGTTGCTGTTCTGTTGGTGGGAGAGTGGTGGGAGAGTATTCGCTAGTCGCATGCGCACTAAGCGGGTTTGCAGTGTTGCCGCTATCCTTTCTTAGAGTTACAGATTGTTTTATAAGACGTTTACACGTTTACTTTATACAACCTATACAAGGATTGTTCGAGTCGTCTGGGGGGGTAATTACCCCCTTTACCCCCCCTTCCCTGGGAGCGCCAGTGGCGGCACATCACAATATGGTATTGCTAAAAATAGCATAGTAATGCCTACTAATTCCCTAAAATTCCTATTAATGCCCACTAATTCCTTGTCAATGCCCCGTAATGCCCACGGATTCCTAGTAATGCCCACTAATTCCTAGTAATGCCTACTAATGCCAACTAATTCTCATATAATGCCCAGTAATTCCCAAAATTTGTACACCGTAATGCCTCAGCGGTTCACCCCTCGGTAAATTTATCCTCTTCACAGATCGTTTTTAAAAGCTCATAGAATTTATCAGCTCGTGCTTTGCTAAATCCTGCAGCCCTTGCCAATGATGTCTTCTCCGGCTGCCGTAACGATATTTCTTTATGTCTTGACATGAAGCCATAATACCACTTCTTACCTGCCATACGTTTATCTGTGTTGAAATTGTGTTTCAAATTGTTTCTTGTTGCCAATTCAAATGCCAGTTTGCGGACGTCTCGTATGCCCATCCCGAACATTCGCTCTTCGAAAATCAAAATATGCTTAGCCAATTCTGCTTGAACTTCTTCATTAAATACACTAAACCTGCCCATTTTTTTAATTGCATTATTTGCACGTTTGTTTTTCTCTTCGAGATGTCTTTTTAGTGTAGCTTTAGGTACTTTAAACAACCTTGCACATTCATTCATCCCATAAGAACCATTACGAAAAGCGGAAATAGCACTGCTGGTCATATTAAATAAACATAACAATCAAAGTGTAGAGCCGTATCCACAACAATATTCAACAATGACGCTAATTCAGCTGTGACATTAAAATGTTAAAATGCATCTTGACGATTCTAGTTTTATTGTCATTTGTATTAGAAACATAGTAGAGGTATAGGGGAGACACGGGCAGCCGGAATCACTTTCGGAGAGTGCCAATTCATAGCACGAAATTATTAAAAAATGATCTATCTGAATACTTTTATGTGGATTTTAATTATTTCAGAAACATTAAACACTACTATTTTAACTTTACAATATAGTTTGAGCAAGTTACGGCCTAAATTATTAAAGACTGTATTTGATTCTATTTGCCCGACCCTCTAGGGTAAAAGGAATCACAGGTGAGGGCAAAAGGATTCAAAAGAAAAAATATAATATGGAAAATAGAAAAATATATATTATCATTATGGAAAACTGAAAATGGTAACTCTTACAATAATTATTCTCTTAACCTAATTATTTTCTCTAATCTTTAACCTGATTTTATTAATCTTGATATATATAAAATAAAAAAAACTATTATTAGTAGAAACTGAAAAAGGTATTCTATAATTATTCTTAACTCAATTATGTTCTCTGATCTTTGACCTGATTTTGACAATCTTGACAAATATAAATTCCAGTCTTGTAGCTTGTGCATTTCTGATGTGCAAACTTCTCACAGAAATTGCACTGTATCCAGTGTTCGCCTGGAATGGAGTTTTCAAAGGAATCGTCACATATCAAACATGGAGTTTCTTCTTCATCTGGAGCGGTTTTCGGTGGTGAAGGTGGACGAGGTATTTTCAGTTTGCTGGAATCTGTCTCTTGTTGGATCTTCCTTCTAACGCTTTTGACACATTCTTTGCTCTTACTTTTTTCTCTAATTTCTTCTTTAATTGGCGTAGAAGTCAAAATCTCTGATTTCTGTTGATTCCTTTTTGTTTTGGGTTCTTTTCGTTTATCACATTTAGGTATAATATGAATATCAATAATTTTAATGCGATTATTTCCTTTTGGAGCGTCACTAGCTGTTTTAAGGTCGTACTATTATTGAGACCAGAAGGTTCAGGTTTTGCGATATCATTTCAATAACATCCATATCTTGAGGATTATGGTTAATACGGACCTCTGGTTCTTCAATGTTAGTTACATCTGCTGGAAGGAAGTCCACTTCGGAAAAAACATCTAAATCACATCTTGCAATTCAAGTTTTTTCGAAACCTTTTATAGCGTTTGTTGGTGTTGCAGCTTTAAGGTAGGCATTATTAAACATTTTGCCTACATCAAACAACGTAACGCGTTGTGCAGGATGCGCGTTTTGCCACTTGTCAATTTATTTTGGAAATAAGTTCCGAAAGGGCCATAAACGGACACATCTAGCGGCTGGAGCTTGTGTGTCGCGTGGGGTGGAACCGACAAAATGATGACATTATTCTGAGAGGCATAATCAAGGACATCAATAGACCTATGAGAAACATGATTGTCTAAGATTAATAGACATTTATGGTCTTCATTTGGTCTAACGTTGCTTACAAAAAACTTCATCCACTCCAGGAAAGCTTCGGAACTTATCCATCCAGAATCAGTTACTAACTGAGAAGAGCCTGGTGGAGTTCCTTCCATGTACCTTGGATTTTTCTTTTTCCTTGGGAAAACTAGTGTAGGAGGAATATATGCCCCAGCAGCGGAACAACAAAACAGTGCCGTTACTAGTGTGCCTCGCTCGGAGGAAGATATAGCTCCAACTCCCTTTTTGCCTTTCAGGGAAATAACCTTAGGAGGCCTATTTGTAGAGGTTTGGATCCCTGTCTCATCTACATTGTACATATTTTCAGGCAAAATATTGTTTTTCTTATGACGTCCCTCAAATTTTCCTCTCCACTTGTGGGCGATTAAAGCCACTGGGTCGTGCAACACTGGTCGGCTCAGGTGTCCGTAAGCTTAACTCAGGATGTCTCTTCATAAAATTTTGATACCATTGCTGACCCGCTGCATTATTTTTTAAACAATGAATAATGTGGTTCGCTTCGGCGTATTGATATGCTAACACACAAAGATCTCGTCGCGTAAGCCCATAAAAACGGCTATCAAGCTCTTTGATATGAGTAACAAATTCTTGTTCTTCTTCTTAAATCTGCCCCGAGATTTAGTAGTTTTATTAGACTTCACATGCTTAACGCTTTCACCTCCAGCATCTCTACTAATACGAGCCTTGTGTGCCGCGTGTATTTTCAAAAGTTATTTCAACAAATCTTTCATAAAGTAGTCTAGGTTGTCTGTTTAGAAGATTAATGCACCTTAAAGACAAACACGTCATACAAATTGAAAAAAACGCGCTACGCGCGTTGGCGGCATACGGCTATACCCGCATGCTATATGCCGCCAACGCGCGTCGCGCGTTTCACTTTGAATTGTGATTTTAGTTTTTTATTGCAATGTCAATCACATCTGAAATACAAAAAATTTTACATTATCAAACAAAATTTACATAAGACACAAAAATACAAATAATAAACAAAAGTGAAACCTGTATTACTAAGACAAGTTACTGTCCTGAAATTCCTGACGTTTTATTGTAATTTTTGCTTTTTGTACAGAGATAAAACATAATATACTAATATACAAAAAATAAAAGACAAAAGTGGAAACAGTATTTCGAAAACTTGTCACATTCATGAAAATTCTTCACGTTCATCTGAAATTGTAATTTTTTTTATTGAAAAACAGTAACATGATACAAAATAAAGTTACTAAATGAAACAAAATTCCAAAGAACAAGCAGAAGTCAAGACTTACTACATACGTTCATGGAAATTTCGGAAACAAGGTGTGAGACAAAGTCCAGGTTCGTTCGGACATTGTGGACAGAAATATGTAGAATCCTTCCGTAATTTTTTCACTTCCCAACAATATTTACATCTGCGCCTTTTCGCTTTTCCTTTCAAATCTTTTGAGCAATATTCTGGGAGATGAGAAATCATTGTAGGTCGTTGTGCTTTTGGAGCAGGTGGCAACAAGAATTCCATAATAGCTAATCTGAAATCGTAAAAACTTGCTTTCCGGTCGGCAAATTTTTTGAATAAATAGTAAGAGTTTACAAGCATAGTTTGGAAAATGTGGATCCCCAACTTCTTGTACCAACGAAGTGTTTTGCGTTCACAAGAATAATAACTTTGCATCTGGTCATTTTGGTAAATACCACCCATATATTTATTGTACTCAGCTACCAGTTTTGGTTTTCTTTTGTCTATTCCTCTTTTGGAAATCACATTGACCATTTCACTATCAAATTCCGTAGAAATAGTGAGAACATCACGCTTGTCCTTCCATTTACTGACGCAGAGTCCATCGTTTGTATATTGAGAAATACATTCTCCTTTTTTTAACTTTTTAGAAATAACTTCTTCTGGATTTCCAACTTTATTTGTTCTAAGTGTGCCTGTGGTGTATGTTTTCTCTTGAAGTAATTTTTCCGATAATGCGACACTATTATAAAAACTATCCATATAAACCGAATGTCCTACACCTTTTTTGTCTTCTAATAGACTATGGACAACTTTTTCTGTATGTTTGTTACCACCTAGGTTTGGATCTGCAGATCCTCCGTAAACGAGAATTTTTTGAACTAATCCATTAGATTCTGCAAGGACGTATAATTTAATCCCAAATTTATGTCGTTTCCCTTGAACGTATTGCCGAAACCTCAGCCTTCCCCTCCACAGAACCATGGATTCATCAATAGCTAGTTCCCTACCAGGATAGTAGAGCTCAGACATTTTAGAGTTGAAAAAATTCATTAGTGGAGATATTTTAGATAATCTGTTTTGTTCAGGGGCCGAATTATCATTAAAATGTAATGCTCGTAAAATGAGCAGAAAACGATTTCGGCTCATGTTGTTAGAAAAAGCAGGTAAATTGAAAAGTTAATGGGTTTTCCAATAATCGTTAATACGATTCATTTTTATAGTGCCCATGTGGAAAAGAAGGCCGAGAAATATTTTTAATTCTTCCTTGGTTCCTTGGTTTCCAACTTGTTATTCTGCTTTTATCTGAAACCGTGGTTGCAAGTATCTCAATAGCGTAATTGTTGGTATTTGTAATTATAAGGTCAAAGAATTCATCAGTGAAAAACAAATTGAAGTAGTCGTTTGGTCGATTACCATCTATATTTACTTTTAGTCTGCATACTCTTGTAAATGGTATTATGTCTTGATCTGGACGATCCGCTAGCCATACCCTGAGAGGTACTTGAGATGTTCCAGTTGCAGATTGAAGCACAACCCCTTCATCGCTATCGCTTCCAGCGTCATCACTGTTTGACATTTCCAACTCCATCTCTTCGTCCGATTCATCTGATGACCCTTCTAAGATATTCAGTAACTCCTCGTTGGTTAACTGACGTTTGCTTTCATATCTGCCTCTTTTTGCCGATGTTGATGGCTGCATATCGCTGTCCTCCATTATGTATGTACTGTATGTACTGAAATAGAAAAGAATATTTTATGTACCGCTTCTGCGATCAATAGCCAACAGCACACAGTACTGTTTCGCCCTTTCGAAACGGGTTTGTCACTTGGAGAATACTTTAGATTAAAATAGAAATAAAACTTACCTTGTAAAAAAACGTTATTCCATGTAATCAATAATACAACTTACAATCGATTTGTAAGCACATAAATTAATGGCAACAACATTCAAATAAGAAACCGCCACGTATTTATAATTTTTCAAAGTGTTTGTTATGTGCCGCCAAACAATAAACAGTCTACCCGTCGTACCGGCAGAATAAGAACTGTTTTAGTGGATCAGTGCTGCCACGCTTCTACCCACCAATGTCGGTAGATCTCAAAAAATAAATCGGTAGGTTTCGGTTTAAAATCGGTAGATAGCCGGTTGCGCCATAGGCTTCCCCTAGAACGCTTTTAACAGATAAAAAATGAGGTTAAGCAATAAGCAAGCTTTTTCTACGATTTTTTTTTTATATATCTAATCAGCAGTTTTTCTTCAATTTTTTTTTAGGTATTTGAGCAATGGAAAACAAATGCTTTATGAAGCAATGAAAAACAAATACTTTATGAATAAATATATTTTATTCATTACTGATCAGTTTCGGGTATCAGAAGTACACAAAGAATCTAAATATACATTGTTAACGTAATAAAACAAGAACAACAGAACAATATAAATCGATAATTATTAAGTTGTTTAGTCATTTTCACTCTCTTCAATACCTTTTAGTGTTTTATTATCCATTTTTAAAATAAGTTCTTTGCTTATTTTAAAATTGAAACACTTATTATTACCTAAGTACTGTTTAGTATGTACTAATCCCGTAATTGTCTTTGTATTTAAAGAATTTCTTTGTTTCGTTTTCATTAGGTTAATTTCTGAGAACCTTCTTTCAACATTGGCGGAAGAATGGGGTAAACACAATATATTAAAAGCGAATTGGCTTAAAATTGGAAACAAAGGCGTATCGTCACCTAAGCGATATTCACTTACTTCCTGCCAAAATGTCACGACTTGATTAGATAATTTTACAATATCGGTATTACGCAAAAGACGCCATTCGTTAACAAGTGATTGAAGCGCTTCTTCCTTAATTAAGTTTGGAAAAATCCTGGCCACATCTGAAATAGAAGGTATAACTCCTGTTTTGACATTTACGGGATCGAGAAAACTAAACAATTTAATTGGATTATTTTTAAGCGGGAAACGAGTAAGGATTTGATCACAACTTTCAATATAAAACTCTAAACATCTAAGCCTAAAAAAATTTATTTGCTCGCTGGATATTGTAATTTCTGATAATGTTTTTGCCACATTAGCTCCAAAATAAACATTTTCTATTGGTAAGTAATTTCTGGGATTTTTGTAGTCAATATTCTCTAGAGATGTTGATGTTAGATAATCGCGGTTTAAATAACAATCAAACATGGTTTTTAAAACAGTGGATATGTTTTTATATATAAAATGTATTCTTGGGCTCTCTGCTTGCATATCCTTATTTAAATTATTGAAAAAAGGCAAAGCAAAATCTAAAAATTGCAAAAATAAGAGAGTAGTAGGGTCGTTTAACCTTTTCAAAATTTGATTCGTAGCTAAAACATCATTTTGGAAAACAGCGTCAGTAAAGTATAATTTTAATGGATTGTATTGTTCTAAAATACGACTTACTACACTTTGAACAGAAAGCCATCTAGTCTGTGATGGGTGCAGAATTTTATGTGTTTTTATGTTACAAAAAGCCTGAAAGTCACGGAATTCTGAAGTTCTTTTTGGGCTAGAATTAAAATAATTATGAATATCCCTCACAAGATCCTCGACAAACCTTGGTATTTTTTGTGAAGCGTAAGAAGCGCAAAGGTGGAATGAATGGCATATGCACTTCATCACAAACAAAAAAGGAATATTTCTTTAAAAGTACCATTAATGAATTAGTTTTGCCCATCATGACATTAGCCCCATCCGCAGAAAATCCAATTAAATTATTTTTATACAGAATATTGTTAGTTTTAAAAAGGTCTATAACAACGTTATATAAAGTTTTTGCATCAGCATTTGATAAAGGTAATAGAGCAAAAAATTTGTCTTTTATTACATTATTTTTTCGATACCTCACTACGGAACAAAGATGCTTAGTGGTGCTAACATCCGTCGATTCATCTACTATTAATGAGAACTTATTTTGCCTTAGATCTTCGCAAACTTTCAAAAATTCTTCCTGGCCAATTACATTTTTTACAATCGACGTTGTTTTGGTTCTGCTAGAAGCCAAACCACGAGCAATTTCGGAATCAGAACATATATTTTTTATTAGATCAGGCAAATGCTCCATAACGGTAAATGGAAGATTATGTTCAGCTACAAACGCCGCCAGCCGTATCTCAGCTAAAAAATGATGGAATAGAATACAAAAACCTTGCCACAATTATAATGTTACAATGATCGATGCACGTAGTACTATATCATATTGTTAAATGATGCAATTTTATACAACAATGTTGAACAGTGCGGACGTGTTATACAACATGTTATATAGTCTGGATGCACCTTAAGACAAAAGGTGGAGAAAGTCACGTGATGGGTCTGGAGGAAGGAAAGAGAGCTTCCAGTAGCATTCCGACATCCAATAGAAAATATATTTTGAGCATTGTAATGAATCTTGTACTACATTTTATAACAGGTACTGCACATAAGTGCATCAATCATTGGGAATTACCAAATAGAAAAACGTAAGTATACCTTCTTTGGTGTCTTGAGCCCTTTGCCTCCTTGTTGTGTCTGTAACAAATTTAGTCATGGACGGTTGATTTTTGATAGATTTTACATTTTGTTCGTGGATTTTTCGCTGTGTATGTTTTATAAGTGAGTCCTTTCCACTGGATATATTAATATCTTTATTGCATGCCTTGCAGAATCCAAAATTTTTCCCTTTTTGGCTTTTAATAAGCCAACCTGTGAAGCGTGGTTCTTTCTCCCAATCTGATTTGTAGGACTGACTGTATTTCATCTTCTTTTTTAAACCGTAACTGGTTCCTTCACCTCCACTATCAGCACTGTCACTATCACTATCCATATTTGTTTAATAAAAATTAAAATCCAGAAAAAATCAAAATTTATATCAGAGAATATAAATTTAATCACTACTCTTCAACATACTTCTAAACAGCCAACACCAACAGAGTACAGTAGAACTCCAATTTTCCGAATTAATGGGGACCGGGACCCATTCGGATAATCAAATATTCGGATAATCGGATTTTTTTTTTAAAAATTGCCATTGGAGAGAAAAATGCTACGTTTTGATATTGCACTATTTTTTTTATTGAATTAAATGAAAGAAACATGATATTTTCACATGTTTTAAATATAAATACATACATAAAATACATAAAATGTATGTACGTACATACATATGTACAAGTTTAGAAATAAAAATCATTGTTTTTTAAACATCTCCGTCAATGTAAGCTGTTTTGCGTTCTTCATCCGTTTTCGGGCAGCCAGGTCACGCATTCGCTTGACGGTGAGCAGTTGCAAGTGGTCACACTCGGGCTGACGCTCCATCCACTTCAAAGCAGTCTCGAGGCCGGCAAATGCTTCACTAGCTGATGGTCCAGCGTCTACTTCAACATCAGCAGAAAGTTCTTCTCCCACTTCCACTTCAACATCTTCTCTCACACTTTCAACAATTTCATCGTCATTGAGAATTTGAAAACCAGGGTCAGACGTGTCACAAGCCATCCACTCTCCTACATCTTCAGCACTTACTTCTGTACAACCAGGAATTTTTACAATCATTTTTCTTATTTCCTCTAGTGACAACGCATCTTCATCATCTTCATCCTCTCCATTTTCTTGTTTCTCATTTTCTTCAGATTCTTTTTTTTTGTTCTTCTCAGACGGTAGGCCTTTCAGTTTATTCCACGCACGTCTTAGCGTCACTGCCGTAACCAAACTCCAAGCTTCCGCTACCATGTAACAGCAGTCCTTTAAATTTATTTTGCTATGATTTGCCAAAACCAATTCTTCATCTTCAGCACCTTCGATCAGCAGTTTTCTCAGCAGTTGCCTTCTGTAATGGCGCTTCATTGTTTCAATAACAGACTGGTCCATGGGTTGCAGCAAACTTGTAACATTGGGAGGCAAAAACGTCGTTTTAAACTGCCCTTTCTCTCTTTCCAACAGTTCTGCTGTAGGATGAGTGGGTGCGTTATCAACAATTAAAAGCACCTTACTGCCTTCTTTTCCCACCGATTTTTGGTGCTTTTTCACTTCAGGAATAAACACTTCATCATACCATTCGGTAAACAAAGCTGCAGTCATCCAGGCCTTGGGTTGACTTTTGTAGAAGAGTGGAAGTTTTTTTACGTTTTTAAATGCTCTTGGATTTTTTGATTGTCCTATCAAAAGAAGTGGTAGTTTATGATTTCCAGTGGAGTTGGCACAGTTAAGCACTGTAACACGTTCTTTACTGACCTTATGTCCAGGGGCACTAGATTCCCTTTTAGAAGCCAAAGTGGTTTTTGGTAATGCTTTCCAAACAAGGCCAGTTTCATCGGCATTATAAACAAACTCCGGATCATAGGATTCTGCTGCAGTTTTAAATTTTTCAATAAAATTTTCAGCAGCTGCAGAGTCTGCTGAAAGCTTCTCACCAGCCAAATCTAACTCGCGTACACCATGCCTGAATTTAAAGTTCCTTAGCCAGCCGTTACTAGCCTTAAAAGATGAATAACCAAGCTTTTCTGCTAAGATTTTGGCTTTTTCACAAAGGATTGGACCTGAAATCGGATTTCCCATAGAACGTTGCTGCAAAAACCATTTAAACACGGCATCTTCCAAATTTTTGTTGGTTGCTGTCTTCATTGTTTTCCTGGAGGAACTTCCATCTTCATTTTCAAGCACCGAAACAAAGTTTAAAAGTGTTGACTTACTGTTTTTAATGTCACAAATTGTTGCTTGTCCAACACCATAAATCTCAGACAACTTCTTACCCGTTACACCTTTATCGAGTTGCTCTATAATTTTCAGTTTGTCCGCTAACGATAGCACAACACGTTTTCTTTTCGAAGCCATGGTGAAAAACAATACAGTACAATAGTATTGTAAGCCGTAGCGAAAGAGTAGCGTCCTCGAGCAAGGTCAATAGCACACTGACTATATTGGTGCGCCGTGACTGCAATGTGCCGGAACTGGAGTGGGGACTCATACCACGTGTTGTTGTGCCTACACTGACGCCGCGGACTTTGGACAAATTTAAAGTGATTCGGATAATCGGCGATTCAGATAGTCGGAGTTCGGATAATTGGAGTTCTACTGTATTAATAATATAAATCGTGTATCGACTATCGCGTCCACCTGCTGGTGTTAGCCAGGGGAATACCCGAGTCGCGTCGGGGAATTACCAAATAAATTGTATTTTGCAGAAATCAGTTATCGGTATTTATTTTACGATTTGGACGTGTACCACTAGATGTCGCTAAATATAAGAAAAGAAGAATAAACTGGGATGTTTTAAGCAAACTACAGAATATTTATAAGTAGCTTAGAGGGTAAAACATATTATTGCAATTTAAAAATATGCATATTTAGAAACAAAAAAAATCGGGAGATTTTTCATGAGAATCGGTAGATCGGTAGATCTCTTCTAAAATCGGTAGATCTACCGATAAATTGGTAGAGGTGGCAGCACTGTAGTGGATATACACACAAAACGCGCTAGGAGCGTTGGTGGCACCGAACGTAAACAAGTCTGAACGCGCCTGGCGCGTTGGCGGCGTTGAATGAGTTAAGGAGCGTTGAGAATGGAATGTTATATATTAAAGACGCTTTTCTTATCGACTCACCGTTACGCACTGCTTGCAATGCATGTTCCATGGATGTTTCTGTCCAGGTGCTTCCTCGTTCCGACTTTCTTTTATAGTTGAAAACCATCTAGAAAAGAAGCGAAAATTACATACCTACATGAAAATCGAAAATTGATATACGGGCAAAAGGAATCATGATCCCTTTTGCCTGATTCCTCTTGCCCGAAATGCACTGTCACAAAGGAAATAAAAATTTACGAGACGTTGGCAACAATGGACATATTTTCAAGGTTAGGTAGAAAAGTAGAAGTGCCAATCTTTCGATTATTAACTAAATCGTTTTGAATAAATGGTTGAGTCACTACTTACCCTTCTTCAAAAATCCTTTGAACAACTATTCAAGACGTAATTAATTAGAACACCTTAAAAAATATGAGGTAAAAACTTTAGCACGAGGGAACGCGTTGCGCATGAACTTGTGCCATACTCAGCGAATTGTTAAACAGCGTTGTCAGGTTTCTGTGATGAAGCTGTTTTCATTTATTTAGCTGATTCCTTTTGCCCACTATATCCCTTTTGCCCGATTTTACCCTACTGTCATTGAAGTAAGTAATAATCCTCAAAATTTCTTAAGCAAATAACATTATAATAAACTATTAATATAAAATGGCGATATTAGCTTACTTCAATCCGGCAATACCCATCACGAGCACTGATAGAAATTGTTTACCTAGATGATATATAAGAAAAAAATGTTAATATTATATAACATGCCCTACATAATCCTTACATTCAAAGATGGAGGTACCACACTCAACAACATAAATATTACATAAATGTGACATCGATGTATTTATTCAAGTTTACGTAATATCAATATAACAAAAATTATCTAAATTGTAGGGTATACGTTTTACATAAAATTGATGTTCATGTAACACGTACGTTTACTGGGTAGTTTTTCTTACATGAGGTCACGACATTTAAAAGATATACTTGTGAAACAAACGCATGTTTATGTAGCAAGATCTTCCAAAATTAAACTAGAAAAAGCAACACATTTCCTTGAGAATGGTTGTCACATGTGGCATCCAAACCCACTCAATCTGAGACATCCTGCCCCAAAACACGTTTTAGAATATTACCTCTTAAAGAAATTGAAATGGTGGCTTATTTGAAACAATCATTCAAAGGTATTATAAAACACATATTTTGAATTACAAATACATATAAAGGTGAAATACTACGTAAAATTTAGGTATACTCGAAACAATTGCACAAAAAATTACTTTCACTGTGTGAGAAAAACATAGTCTTATTATTTCACGCTATCTGCCAGCAGACTGGGGTGAGGTGGGGAACGAGACGTGTCTATGGCGATGCTTCGTCACTTGTTTAATTTACTGTTATGACCTCTGTGACAACCAACTCATGAGACAACCGTACCCTTCAGGAAGTCTAGGGCATTTCTAGATTTCTACTTTTCCGTGTCAGCGTCAGCGCTCTCCTACTCTGAGGCTGTGTTTTCTTTTTGAATTGTAGGGAATTTCGGGCTGGTATAACAGATGATATAAAGCCATCAACAATTTCATGCAAATATATATTTGTAGCATAACCTCAAAATAGAGCGCTGACATGAACACGCGCAAATGTCCCATTATGTTGGTAGTCATCTGTTTTACTCCGCCTGGGGGCAACTTTTGAAGACAAGGGAATAGAATACCTGATAGGAAGTGACCGTGGTCTACTGACTTTTAGGGAATTTCATTCCTTAACATTGTTGGAACAGTGCCTCTCCAAGACATCCTTAGGAGAATAACTGTGGAAGTCAGTCTCATCTCGAGACAAAGACGCCCTTCGAATCAACACTGACCATCAGACAAAAGCCTGGCGCTGTAGAAATGAGGGTGACACTTCCTAGTTTCCAGAAACCGATGGCGATGTAGTGACAGTAATACTATGGAATGCTGGGAATAACTCTCCATTAATGGCCACGAAAATGTGATGTAAATTACTTACGTATTAATGTCATTATTGGCTGATGATAGTGAGATGATTATTGGGCTTCAGCCTTCTCCATTCTTCAAAGTAGTCCCCTAACTTTGCGCTGTTCTAGTTTTAAAAACGCCCTTCTAATCAACACTGACCACCGGTCAAAAGTCTGGCGCCTCAGTTACCCCAAACCGATGTAGTGACAGTCGCACTACGGAATGCTGGGAATAGGTGTCGAGTAATGGCCACGAAAAACTGATGTAAATTACTGACATGTTAATGTCTTTATTGGCTAATGATATCTGGATGATTATGGGGCTTCGGCCTTCCTCATTCTTCCCTGACTTCAACTTCACTGTATGCAGTTGCCACTTCTCTAGTTTCAAAATTTAAAAACACTACATAGAAGACGATTCATCTCTTGTATCGTTAGGTTTCATATAAAACTAAATCTGTAAACTAGTTAAAATAGCTCTGCAACGTTAATCATAACCATTTCTTTCACAAACTGCATTCCTCAGACTATGGTCAATTCAAGACTTCCATTTTAAACAAATTTTCATTTTGAGGCAGTGTTGGGTTTAAGCTCGAATTCTGTCTTAGATCTTGATTGTACTAAACCCATACGTGTGCTATTTTTGTAGTCTAATGATGGATATATTTGCACACCTTTGTAAAAAAGAACAACTATGATGCATTAAAGATATGATATACGAGTATGCTTTCAATGTTAACTCCAGTTCTATAACCCAGCTGCTAATGTAAAAATAAGAAGGTGTCTATTATGTTAATGCAAACCTGTTGTATGAACATACAGTAGGGAAAAATCTAATATAAACTGCAGCATTTTGTTACCTTAAAATACTTATTTAAAACTCTTTTTTGTTGTATGATTACAGTTACATTAATTTTGTTGTTTGTTGGTACACTTTTAAGCAACTCATTTTTTACTAATTTGTTATTTATGTTTGTATTTTTATAGAAATAAATAAGTTTTAACTGATTTATTTTTATTTTCTACCTTTTTACATTTTGGTAGTGGTGTTTCTTATGTTCAATCGTTTTCAGTTGTCAAAAACTCAACAAGGGGACGTGGCGACAATGCAATCATTAATATACACCTTTTTGTAGATTTGTGACTATTTCAAACTTACATACGTTTTACTTCCGATGCCCAATTGCCGTGGAAGCTACAACTTTATAATTCCCGAATTTTTATGAAATTTCGACACAGTGGTACTACCTTGTCAAGAAAAACGGTTTTGTAAAAGGAGCAAAAAACAAGGATTACCAAAATGTCCCCAAAGTTATTTTGGAATTTTTCAGATTGAGATAATTTTTAGGTGCAATACAAAACTTTTTAAGGTTTAATACCACTTTAACGGAATGAAAAAAGTATTTATTTGTATTTTTATGGTGGAAGGAATGGTAATAAAATAATAACTTTGGAGGAAGTTATTAAGCATATATTTAAGTATAAAAAAACATTATCACGAAAAAATATTTAAAAATAGCGACGACCCAGTATTTTTCTAGAAACGTGATTTTTCAAAACAAGCATAATCGGAACAATTATTCTATTCATTCGAATTTTAACATATATTTAAAATAACATTTTTAACGTAAATACCTATAACGCGGGAGCACTAAGGGCCATATCAACAGTCCTTCCTGGAATTGTAGGACGCCTTTATGGCCTCCTTGATTTTCCGTCTTTTCTCTACTTCAGAAAGGTGTATTTACAGATTTATACTGTTCCGTGTCAGCGTCAGCGCTCTCCTATCGTGAGGTTATACTTTCCTTTTGAATTGTAGGGCATTTTAGGCAAAAGCATGAACAATTTGATGCAAGTAGATATTTGTAACATAATCTCAAAATACACCGCTGACACGGACCAGTACAAATCTAGAAATACCCCTGAATTTGAAAAAACTATGAAAATCAAGGGGGCCATAAATGCGTCCTACAATATTGTAAGAGTGACTGACGATACAGCCCTAAGACAATCTACTTAATTCCATTTTGTTTTTAAAATAACAGGACGAGGGGCATATCATAATGCGGTTGTTCTCAATCATTATGACAATCAAAAGCCGATGCAATCAGTGACGTTTTTGCTGATCAACCTCCAAGCACTCAAGAATTTTTCTAAAATGATCAGGATAACCAGGGACGTCTAAAACGTGAGAAAATTAAGTTTAGTTGATTTGTATTTTCCTGTTTTTTGCTTAGAACATTTCAGTGATGCTTTGTATGTCCATAGAGGGACCCAGAATTACTGGACAGGGGACAGTCAGTCATAATCTTTCGTGAAGACATATACGAGGTTGTCCGTAATATGCTTTAATTAAATGTGTGATATAAGGTGTTGACGTGCAACTTTTAAAATCGGTATTTTTTTCTATAAATCAATGTTTTTACGGATCATGGAACTTGGAAATCGGGGTTTCTAAGAATGAAGAACGTTAAAGAGAAGTTATAAAAAGAAAGGGCATTGCGCGCAGTGTCTTTGTAGTTTGCTGGTCGCATTCATTGACCTTTTCATTCCCATCAAATTGGCTTGGCACTGCGTTACTGGTTGCCTGTTTCAACACAGTTGACAGCAGAAACAGATCCATATATGAGCGAATTGACAAACTCGGCAGAAGAGCGGGGACGCGTCCATCCCGTGTTGCATTGCCAGCAAATATTTAAAAACGGCTATAGAATGAAACGTATAAGATTATTATTTACTATGGAAACAAAAATAAATTTGAAAAAACAAATGCTTAATTAATTGCTATAATATCTGCTATAAATGAATCGTTTAGATGAAAAACAGTATATGTCCCAAATTGTACTTTTGAAAAAATCAATGAAAACCGTATAGCTTTAAAACTGTTTCGGATAGAATGCTTACTTGCACAGGAAAGTTCTAGCTCTTATTATTTTTGAACCAGGTAAGCTCTTATTATTTTAAAAAAAGGTCATCTATTGAGTAATGCCCTACAAAGGGTAGTGGACTTGTACTGTTTTTCAACTAAAGCCAAAAAATGTGAGAAATTGGCGAAATTATACTAAAAAATTATTTATTAAGTATAACAAAACTATTTAGGAATCCTGTTCGACCTCGGTAGTACACCATGAAATAACATGATAATAAAATTCCAAGGTTTCTCCTATTATAAAATATGTTGCATCACCTTTCTGATGTCTTCAATATTCTTCTTATTTATTGGAACAGGTGTTTTATAAGACTTTTCAGTGGGAAGGGCCGGATTTGTTTTATTTTTTCAGAAATTTAAAAGTGACTGAAGATAAACCATTTATACAGGGTGACTTCGAAGTTGAGTCATTTATTTTAACAGTGAGTAGATCTGATCAAAAGAAATGTTTTTTTCCTTTACCATTTTTCTGGTAAAATTAAAGTAACAAAGTTATAGCCCTTTGGAAGTTTGAGTACCGC